GCAATCCTGCGATAGGCGGCGGGTGCGGCGTGTGCGACGCCGTGTTAGTGGAGAAGTTCCCGGACCCGGGGAAAATTAGGTGAAAACATTTGGCAGATTAAAGTTGGATATTTATTTCAATTCAAAGCGGGAATACGGCATTAGGGGTGTACATACTTATGCTGTAGTGCAAAGGAAAAGTCAGCTGTAGGGAAGGGGATAGGTGTTGACAAAGAGTGGATGTAACCCAAGTGTTCGTGGCGGACTGGAAGATTAGTCCACTAATAAAGGTTCTGTCAGAACATATGCAGCGGAGCGCAAGAAAAAAAAGTAGGAACCCCTCAAGTGAATTATGTGGTCTTTCAGAAGCAGTCATCCAATGTAAGGGGAATGGGTACTGGGAATTGAGTATGGGTGGAGTACTGTACCAAGTGGTAAACCAAAACTTTTAAGAAAGGGAGAGCATGAAAGGAAACTGTCTGAAAAATGGGCAACAGGCCCGACCATCCGACTACAACAGCCCGATGGGATATCCTTAGAAACTCTTGGCGATTGATTTGATGGTAATTACATATTATAAATAAAGTAAATCTAGTAGTTCGTACTTTATTTCCTCTTTTGGGGTTTCAGGAGGAGAAACAACGTCATCTTTCCTCCTACTTTGTTCCTGTTTGCGGTGCTCCTTTGGAGATTCTCGAAAAGTAGCTCTAACACGTCGATACGACCCCTTCTTTCCATCAGGTTTTCGTTTTTGGCGATCCGCTTTTCGCTTTCTTTTCTCACTACCCTCCTCGTCAGTTGCCTTTTTCGATTTCTCTTCAGAATCGTCCGTTCCTAGTGCTTCCTCTTTCATCTTTCGTGAGCTTTCCTCTTTCCGCTTTCTTAACATCTTCTCTAAAGCTTTCATTTCTCTAAGTTCTTTTCGACGAGCTCCCTTATTCTTCGTTTTTGGTCCACTGTTAACAACATCTAATTCTCTGAAAGACTTAACAATCAGGGAAGTCAATTGTAGCCTGTCAGGACCATGTCACCTTAGTTTGAGAGCCAAAGATTGTATGAGATCGTCTCTGTCTTTCTTAGGGGCTTCCTTCTTGGAATCAAGCAGATTCACATACTGCTCCGATGTTTCATCTTCTTAATGGAGAGAATTCATTACAAGTCATCGGTTCGCAGTAATAGTACTATGGACTTCACTGACCGTTAGCCTCTTTTTGTTTTTCCTTCTTTGCAATCTCACAAGCACTGCCATGCATACAGCATACCACATCGCCTTTCTGAAAGTTGTAAGCCTTTCCCCTCGAAGGTGGTGTAGAAGAGGTTATTATTAAAAGTCTGGTCGACAAGGTTAAGAACTGCTATCAAAGTCATAATCATAATTTTGTGTATGTATGTGTGTACGTATGTGTATGTGTTTATGGGTATATGTCCTCGCTTCCTTGCACTTCATCCATCGAGTGTCACACACACGCGGATGACGGAAACAGGTTGTAAGTGGTAATCAAAGCTAAGCCTAAAAGACAGTAGCCAATGAAAATGAGCCTACTACAGCGTATCAGTTAACAGATTCTCAGAACTGTGAATGCAAAAGGTATTAACCCAATGGCGTAGAGTGGTAACCCTTTCGTTCCTATCCTTGAGCAGGAATGGACGAGATTGATTGTTCCAGGTTGTATCGGATTCACTGCGTATTTCACGAAATGGTATGAGCAGTAAATCGACTTGAACTTGGAGAATCGAGGACTTAGTCTTGCTTGCGAATAGACGCCTACCTATAAGGATGACAAGGGCAACGGCTACTTCCTCACACACTTGTGCTGATAAGCAATGGCATATAAGCCATTATGAAGGCGAGGACAAGCGGAGTCTCGGTAGTGTAAGGGATAGAGCGCGGTGCCCGGAAAGCACAAGTACGGGTTCGAGTCTTGTCCGAGACCGAAGTTTTGTCCATTAATCGCCAACCTTGAGAGACTTTCGCTTCGCGTACTGCGGCGATATAACGGCAGTTAACAAAATATCAAATCAAAGCGGCTACTTTACCATTATCCTTACTTTATCATTAACGACGCCTATATCACTCGTTTGTAACATACCATAGGTAGGTACCATTCGATTCGCTAGGTGGGTTGCTCAGCTAGAGGCGTCGTAGTTGGTTACCCGAAGAAGAGCCGCTCCATGAGGATCACAGCGAAGCAACACTCCGTGCGGACACATAATATCGGAATTGAGGATCACCAAATCATACTTGTCAGTTACATTGCCCTGTTTGTACCCAAATCCAACAGTTCGTGTCCATGTCATGATGTCCGCCTGATCCAAGAGTTCCCAGTCAGGAAGTTGTGAGCACTGTTGAATTGCTTGAACTGGAAACGCTATTTTTCTGGGTTAGCAGGGCGCTCAGAACTCCTTACAAAAGGAGATGCGAACCGACCTTAACCGGCCGATCTGACTGGTTAAATGAATGTGTTGGGCTGCCTCATCATCGTGATAAACTCAGCACATCATCGTGATAAACTTCGGGTTTGATAACTCCGCTATCATAAAGCGCGGACGAACTAGCTTCTTGTGCAACTCATACGCACTCCCAATCTAGCCGATAGCCACTGCGCCCCATTTCCGACGACGGTTGTGTTCTTCCATTTTTCTTTTTTGATGGGAACCGTACTATACCTGTGCTTTGATTTCTGAGCCCTCTACTGTCATACTCTTGCTACAGTAGACTTTTCTGGTACCGATGACTCCGACGTCTTCTAACGTCACATGCCAATACCCCGCATGGAGACATGAAACCATGTGATTGAAAGAAACCACTATAGAAAATCTGCGGTTTTTCATATAAAGTAGCGGCTGGAAGATGCTTTTTTGGAAATATAGTAGATGAACTAACCTTCATAGGAGCATATAGAGAGTTATATGGCGTAGGACATTCAGACTCCATGAGAGTTGTGGAGTAACCGGCACCTACCGCATGCACTGATCTCAAATGAATCTTACTCAAGTCTTCACTTGCCGTTGTGGTGATAAATCTTTTACAAAAGAAACAGCTTGTTTTGTTTTGCATGATCGAGAAAAATTTTGATTTCTGTAAACAAGCTGGAGGAGAACCATTGGAAAGTTCACTCACGGAAGGGGAATACTCGAGTGGAAGCGAACATGTTTAGAAGAGGATTCGGTCCCTTCTCATCTTTCATCGAAAACAACTGATGATCAACTGTAGTCCTGAAAAGGTTCCCACAAAACCAGCACGTCAAAGAAGCAACGCTTCTGACTTTATTCGCTATCTGAAAGGATAAAGAAGGATTTTTGGGCGTTGACCGACTTCCATTCACAATCGTATTGGCGTAATGAATGCGTATGTGGCCTATACAATGACTTGCGGTGGCCAGTCATCGTACACTTCAGTGTAAAATATACTTGTCTACTGGCGAGAACAAGCAAAACCCGCCCATAATTTTTTTTATGAAACTCCTCTCATACACCACTTGCTCTCAAAACAATTTCAGAACCCCTCCGTGGAAGTGAATCTTGCGAGTGATTGTGCTCCATGTACCAAAACGAAATCTTGAGAAACATTCAGGGAAAAAGATCCTAAACTTTACCTTTAAGATAATTTCGTTTTACTTTTGTAGGTATTTAGGCCAGTTTCCTAATGCTACCGTACCATGTACACCGACTCGGATAGAAAATAACATGCGCGATATAAATAATTCAGATATTAGACCATAAATGGCACCATTTCCTATGAGCTAGTAACTCGTACAAAGAAAATCTAAAGGATTTCGAGAGCATAGAAAGAGTTTTCATATTTTTCCATTTTTTCCATGTTTTTATTAGTAGGCATAGGATAGTTACACTGATGTTCCTCCCCAATGAAATTCTCAGTGCTTACCAGTAGATTATCAGTTTTACAGTTGAAGTACCTCGTGGAGGGAGGGGTTCTCACTTTTGTTCGGAAATTTATTTGCCGCTTCCTACTGTAGGATTCATTAGAATGCGCTAGTTCCACACCTAGAAAAGATCAAGAGATCGAATGGTGAGTACGCTCAAGTCTTACTACTTCCTTCTTCAGATGCAGATTACTACGAAACTGGCTATGTGGTGCAACCTTGAGGTAATCCTCAAGCACGTGATAGACTTTGTGTCCGCTTTCCAAGAACTAGTGAGTCATAAAGCTCCTTTACGTCACAGCTACTACGTGCATGGCCAATGCTTTAACACAAACAAATCCCTTCCTACTTCCTGGAGAGTTCCATTAACTTCTTTTGTTCATTGTAGCAGGTACTCCTTGTGCCCTATACAATGTATCGGCCAAAGATTTCTTCCGGCCGCAGTATCAAAGATGTAACGCCTCCTTAATCCGATTTCAATTATCCCTAGATGAGGGGGAGCCCCTACCTCTATATATACCTAGTTTGCAGAGCTACATAGTTTTGCATGTTGGCGCCCAACACAGGTATAGTTGTAAGCGGCTCGAAGGACGACGATTTGCAACCAACCTCCATTTGTTTCATCCTTTCTTTGGCTCCTCTCGATTGAGACACTTTCAAAGCTGGTGAGCAGGCGTAAGTAACCTACCCAATGAAGTAAGTAACCTAACATTTTAGCAACCGAGCAGAAACCACAGATAGGGCTCTTCAAATGATGATGACTGATGTAAGCGCCATAATTGTATCACCAGGGATAAATGAGAGCGGTGCGGTCAAACAAGCGGGACGTACACCTTCAGATGTCACTCTGACTATCAAAGCGTTTGGCCCCGTACAAGATTTCAACTGGAACCTGAAGTTTGCAGAGACGTGGAAGAAGGAAAACTATAAACAACGGCACGACGTGAAAGATTTTGGTGGTGTACTGGACAAGAGCAGTGGACTAGCCCAGGTTCGGGTACGGCATCTGCCTGGGACCGGAAATTGTACAAGTAATCAAGCGTCCTTCTGACAACATTGAAATTGCGAATTAAGGCGTTGACCACCGAGATAAAGAGACGAAAAAACGAAATAATTCTGGGCAATTAAATCTCAGCGCCCTTTTGCCTTCCCTGGTTATCCCTTGTTTTTGATTGGAAAGGTAATGTATCCCGTCATTGGGCGTCTGATAACTCGGCAACGGCGAATTGTAGTAGTAAGAGCAGTTGAACGGATTTTGTTATACTCATACTCGCACTGAATCATGTGCTACCACCTCCCATCTTGTGGCGACCATTTTACCATCTTCACAGTTTGCCACCGTGTATATTGTACGGATCAGCGGAAAACTGTAGCGAACGGAACAAAAGTTATAGTTGTTCCCTGACCTCGTTATTGACCATTATCAATAGTTCTCAAGTTCTACCACTCACCTACACCTTGACATCCCCACCCTCTTGAATATTTCTTGGTCATAACAAAAATCTACTTCGAATAACCCTCCTTAGATTTCATTTTCACTAGAATCATGTTGTTGACTTGTGCGAGTTTCTCCCACCGCCCTCATTTTAATTGTCAGGTCTGGAAACATATGTATGGAAAACAATTGCTCATAAAATTGCAATTAAAAGCTACTTTGTTGAAAGCAGTTCGGTGTCTAGAGACGGGGATTTGTGAGTAAGCCACTGGCTAGCCACTGATAAACAATCTGAACATTTCTCAAATGATAGCCCAAACTGCATGAAGGCTAAACGTGAAGCCTATGTATTTCTGGTCGTAGGCCTTAAAGATACTACACCAAACTGGAACTTCAGTCTTTTTGCGCTAAATTAATAGGTACTCTCAGTATTTCTCCTCTGTTAGCAATGCGAGTGCATCTTCACCGTCTCCCCTCAGTATCGGAAGGGGAACACTCGTTTTTGTCTATTACAACCGAGGACAGACTGTGAATGGGGGTTTTTAAAAATCTTTTTGCATACTGTTATACCTCTGGCATATGGTGTGGGGCTTCAACTTGGGTGCTTTATGGAGCCGAACTGTTCCCAGAAGGGACGACCAACGTGGTCAATGCGGCGACGACACTATATCACACCGAACGCTATCACTTGCTCACTTTAGAGGCTTATGGTTATTGTTTTATGAGTTTACAGAGAGGATTTTTAAGGACATAACTGTTCCTCGGGAGTCCTTACCGCCTCCTTCAGAAGTTTCAAAATCGTAAAAAAGGTCGAATGTCTGAGCTCCATTGGAGCACTATTTTTCCTCCTTCTACAATCCCACACTCCATTTTCCACTTCTTTTGTTACCTCAGTGTGCAGTTCGCATTCATCCCATGAGTAAAATGATACCAACAAATGAGAAGTGAGCTGCATATAAAGGTAATCGGATGGGTAGGGTGCCTTAATGGCTGAATGTCAGGGTCGATCTTTGAAAGCATGCTTAGGCCCGGTAGGAATGTTTGCGACTCAATCTGCTAGACACTACGGAGAGTAGGTAATATCTAGTAGTCATCAGGGAGAGCGCTTGCGATATCAGCATAACACCCACTCATCCATGAATTCTGTCACTAGACAATATTCAGGCTGTTTATTCATTACTAACTTATGTTATTTGCAATCAGACGCTTCCGAAAACAAAGCCTCTGTCCCAAGGTAGCTGTTAATTGCCATTTTATGAGCAGTTGTTTGTGCTAGACATAGTTATTTCAATTATTCTCTGTTATTTAGTTTACACGAGGTTAAGATTATTTCTTGGCAGTTTTCTGGAATTGTAAGCCTCAACTCGACGTGTCTCACGTAAAAGGGAATTTGGAAAACTGGTAAGTGAGATGATAGCGTCGAATGAATGGCCATAGGGGTGCTCTCTTCTTAATCAACGACCGTACTTCCCGAACCAGATCGCTCTCTACAGGCAAGTCACTCAAACGGATGGTAACGGACTAGAACGACCCCGAGATGAGCCGCCTCAGGACAGTTTAAGACACCCTACGACGATCAAAATATTTTCTGATCTTCCTACTGGAACGAATCTCTGGAGCCTGATGGGCGTTGTCAGGTCAAAAGATGTCCTAGATAGGGAGCAATGAGGACTCAAAAATTCGATGTTTCATAAGCTGCACAACGAGGTTCTGACAGCCCTGTTAGGACCCTATACCCCTTCGCCTCCTTTTTGCATAATACATAATGGAGCTCATTTGTTGAAGGTAGAAGCGATTGAGCACCCCAGATCCTTACTATTGGCGATAATGGAAGCGATTCCAGGCAGGAAGAATTTTTTAACCAACTATTCAAGCAACTGTGCACGCCAGAAATCTTGTCAAAACACCCTCTTCATCGTAAGAATTTCTTGCAACCTTTGAATGGGACGGGTCTCACCTTCTAAACTCTCGGATTCCTGCTAATTGTGAATAATCAATAAACGTTGAGACAAGGACACCAGGAGAGCTCAAAAGCAAGGAACCAGGAGGATTATGCATGAACTAAACGATTCCGAAAAAATTTTGAAAGTAATAAAACAAACATTTGGTGGTCCCTCTAGTGATGAGTATCGCTTTGTATTTCGGTATTTCTATGGAGAAATCAAGTAAGGTAACTGGAGATATAATTTCCAATCCTTAGCAGTCCAGCTAGTTAAAAAGGTACAGCTGCCAGAACTAGAACCATCTGAGAACATTCTAATTCCGTGAGGTAAGGTGGCTCCTTGGTTTGGGAAATAATTAGCTCGCAAAAGCTCCATTTTGGCGTTTTTCATATGTACTTCCAATCAAACTGCAGCCGCCGAGTTCATTAGTTATTGCCATCCGTCCAGCGTTTTTTGCAACAATTTGCATGGAAATAGTTGGAAGCAACGTCGATAGATCGACGACTCCTCCGCAGTTCTCACATTTTTTCATAAAAAGAAACAGAGTTTCTCTCTAAGTGTTCCTCGATATAGTGAGCGTCTGGACAGTGACGGGGTACTTGCACGATGTATATATTGCTCCTTCGTTTTTCCAGTGAGCTTTATCAGGACATTTACCAAACTTGATTTTATTCCGTTTAATTTTCATTAATTTTTCGTTAGTTCCAATGTCCTCGCGTACCTATGCTTTCCCAAAAAAACTTAGTATTATCGTTTTGTTAATGATGGTGCAGCTCAATTGATGGCAAAGGTTTTACTTTCTGGAATTCATTTATTCTGATTAGCTTTCGATCTGAAAGGCTTTCAGAATGATTTGTTTTAAAGTGAAATGCCCTCGGAAGCCGAGAGCACCCTTCACATATGATCTTACTCGAGTGAAAATCGTGTAACTACCTTACTCCTTGTGAGGCACTAAATTATACTGCTAAAAAAGATAAAATTATCGGAATTATTGGAAATATAATCTCCTTAACGCCATTGTAAAATAGGGAAAGGGAATGCTTCTATCACTCGCAATCAGAAGACGTCCGCACTCTAAAAACTCCCCGAATTATCTATGAGCACGAGGTAATGAACGTGAGTGGAGGGCAGTGCGAACGATGTTGAAGCTTTTTGCGATTATATCCATTCCTTGTTAAATAAAGGGGACCTGTAACTTTATTCTCGAAAGGCGAATGAAACTGCAACCGTGGGCAGATATTTTTATGGATCT